GCAATTCATGAGATTATAAATTAGATTATCAAATTGAGAGATAAGATATTGTCACATTTTCTGTGTATAATTTGTAAATTTTAATGTACTCTTTCATCAATTAAAAGAAGTTTACACCAATTAAGGCAGTCATTTATGCTATCCCCTAATAAGACAACATACAAGTGCAAAGTAATCATGCACTAGTGGGTTTAGGATAATGTGCTAGAGTATTTATGACAACATACTAGCACGAGGTGACAATGTGCTAGCATGTACGTCAGTGATAGTATGCCAGCACACTGAATCCAACATGCAGTGAAGCTAACACTCAACAGATTGTTTAGAGTTGTGTTTGCATGATATTTTGTTTTGTGTAAACACAGCAGCGTGTTGTTTAAAGCTGCATTGGAGTGGCAGTCTGTTGAAATTAACATGCTAACACACTGCAACTTCACATCATTGGAACACCATAATTTTAAAACTGGCAAACCAATATCTTATGATTACTAACTAGGTAATTGCAACTGTAAATGCTGATTTCATGGTGACAATAATACCGGTAATTCACTGTATATCTGAGAACTGATCAATTATAATAAGGCGTGTCCAGATAGGGCCACTTGCTAAAGCTCAATAGCACTTTCATAAAAGCGTGCCATCTTACCGACACAAAAGACGCCATTAGGCTATCACACAGCTTGCCATCACAACACTGAAAAACACTTTCGCACTAACACAAGTTCGCACCACACGCTGTCACACTTACACACAACACACTGTCACGCTAATACAATTTCACACAACAAAATATCAGGCTAACACGAGTTCACACAACACACTATCATGCTAACACAAATTCACAAACACGCTGTCTCACTAACACAAGTTCACACAACACGCTGTCTTGCTAACACAAGTTTTACACAACACGCAGTCTCGCTAATACGAGTTCATACAACACACAGTCTAGCTAACACAAGTACACGCAACACACTGTCATGCTTAGATGAATTCACACAACACACTGTCACGCTAACATGAGTTTACACAACACGCAGTCTCACTAACACGAGTTTACACAATACACTGTCACGCTAACACGAGTTTACACAATACACTGTCACACTAACACAAAGTCACGAAACACGCTGTCTCACTATTCACTAACACAAGTTCGCACCAAATGCTGTTGCGATAACACACTGTCATCCTAATACCATTTCACACAACACACTGTCATTCTAATACCATTTCACACAACACACTGTCAGGCTAACACGAGTTCACACAACACACTGTCACACTAACACGAATTCACAAAACAGGCTGTCTCACTATTCACTAACACAAGTTCGCACCAAACGCTGTTGCGATAACACACTGTCATCCTAATACCATTTCACACAACACACTGTCATCCTAATACCATTTCACACAACACACTGTCAGGCTAACACAAGTTCACACAACACACTGTCATGCTAACACAAATTCAAAAAACATGCAATATCGCTAACACGAGTTCACATAACACGCAGTCTGGCTAACACGAGTTCACACAATATGCAATCTCGCTAACACGAGTTCACACAACACACTATCTCTCTAACACCAGTTCACACGACAAATTTTCAGGATAACAAGTTCACACAACACACTGTCACGCTAACACGAATTCACACAACATGCTGTCTTGTTAATAAGAGTTCACACAACACGCTGTCTCGCTAACATGAGTTTACACAACAAGCAGTCTCGCTAACACGAGTTTACACAACACGCAGTCTCACTAACAGGAGTTTACACAACACGAAGTCTCGCTAATACGAGTTCAATCAACACTCTGTCTAGCTAACACGAGCTTACACAACACACTGTCACACTTACACTTTATACACGATTTCACACAACACGCTGTCCCGCTAACACGAGTTTACGCAACACATCGTCAAGCTAACAAGAATTCACACAACCCACTGTCAGGCTAACACAATTAAGTTCACAAAACACACTGCCTTGCTAACACAAATTCATACAACACACTGTCTTGCTAACACAAGTTCACACAACACACTCACATTGCTGAGTTTAAAGTAAAGGTCTACCCTAATTTGAAGAGGTTTAACACTAACATATCTTTATATTAGTAAAGAGCTTCAAATTTAAGACAAAAACATTTATGCAGTAATGTTCCTTAACATGCATCTGGCATATAAAATGAATGAGACCTTAAAAACCTCACAGTACATGTTTACTTAGCTAAGTAAAGGTCTAAATTGATGCTATTCAACAATATATATCAACATCTCTAAGTATGTGAATGAGTGAAATTCTCAAATAAATATTATAAATCAAAGTATCAATAAGAAGCTGAACCTTACGTCGCAGGTTCCAATCCCATTGCTAAATGCTTTAGACAGGTTACTCCTATGAGACTGCATAAACCAAGATTCTGTGTCACGGTAGGTGTTAGCACAAAATGGATCTCATACTTCTTAAAGGCAATAAGTGCTGAGTACAAGTCTATATTTGCAGCTAATACCATCCCAAGTGGTGGCACCATGAAATGACTGAAAAATGTATGATTAAGGCAAATAAACAAACATTAAACCATTACAGCAGTCTTATCAAACAAAAAAGCAAACTTTCTATTATTACAATTTTTTTAAACAAATTTCTTTTGCAATTTAACTGAGCAATATTTGTCCTTTTTTGTCAGTAAAGTATGATATTAAATAATTTAGACTTTTTGAGAACATCTATTTATAGCGAGTCCAGACAGCAGCACAAATCCCTGCCCATAATGCGACCCCTGCGAAATGATATTCATGATTTTAAGAACCTTTATGAGTTGTTCATAATTGTTCATGAATGGTTCTTAAAGGATTCTTAACAGGTTCATAAAAGTTGTTCATGAATAAAATTCATGAAAACATTCATAATTCATGGTTCATGAACAAATGATGAACAAATATGAATATTGTTAATTTTCAGTCTAAAGAAAAAAACTTAATAGTTCAAGGTAATGAATGTTCATGAATTTTCATGAAGACAAAAAATGTAAAAATAATTGTCACAAACGATCGCCAGAAAACACTCATTACTCCCATAATACAATTTTTGCATGCAGATGCAATTGTTGAACAAGACCCTGGTTTAATTAATACCGTATATCAGGATTTTCCCGCGTGTATCCAATTTCCGCTTTGTTGGCGACGAGTTCTCAATTGCGGAAAATAAAACAGCGTACGCGCGTAAATTTAATACAAAGTTTTCTTCTTGTAGTAGAATTATTTCTTAATGCCTATATCGTAGAAGGTAGAAATAGAGGGATCAGAGGACAAGCTAGCGCAAGATACCGATAATAGGTATAAGCCCTTATTGTTTGTTTACTAATTGACAAGCTAGCTAATTGTATGGGTCACGTTCCTTGCAAAAGCTATTAAACTAATTATACATGAGCTGCTAGTCAGTTAGGAACATTAAATGACTTATGATTGTTTACATGTTTACATCTCTGTGGATTTGAGAGTTAGTACGCAACACAGGTGTGTAATCAGCTGAGCGTGTCTTCCGAAATTGAAGAGGTGAAGGTCGATCGATCTATTTCTCACCCCTATATTGTAACACTACTTACACTAGCTTTTAAAATAACCTTACATTTTACATCCAATTCCTTCATAGGCTTAAACAATTGTTAATAATATAATCACTGGGACTTTGAAATAGTGAAAATTTGATTCGCGTAAATTTAATATACTGATTTAGGTTCTGATTCGCGGAAAAAACATGACGCGGAAAAAACCTGATATACGGAAACATGCTTTTGTTTTGATTTTGAAAGTATTGGATCAGAAACAAGTAGGAGAACATAAGAGGTTAAAATCACTATTTTCTACTCTCCGAATCAGTAACTTAGATTCTTCAGGATAATAAAACTCTGTTATGTACTGACTAGAAGGGAGATTGAAATTAAATTATGATCGTAATTTATAGAACACTGCATCAATATTGACAGCATTTTTTTCTCATATTGAATTACTAATGTTTCTTCATCATTTAAAATGGCCAGCTATATTAATGTTGTGCTTTAAATTATCTCATTTTTCACGACACAACTTTGTTCGACTGAATTTTCTCAATTTGTCACACTTTTAACAAGTTGTAAGAAAATGAAACAGACTTACAGTCTAGGAAAAATTTCATAATCTTCATAAAAACGTATCATAGCAGGGTTTTTTAGGGGTCGTAGGGGGCCTGTATAAGGCCCCATTCCCAATGGTAAAAAGAATGTGTTTTTCCCAATTTCATTGAAGAAAATTCCCAAAAGAGAATCGAAACAAACAAACCGGTTAAAAAATGTTCAAACGCAGTAACATTTTTATCAAAAGTTTTGTTCCAAATAAAAATCTAAAAGGCATTCTCCCAAAACTGATTGACTGAATGCAAAATAAGTCAAAGAAATACTTTGCAAATAAAACAAAAACCCTCTTATTTGAATTTATACAGAAAAATATTAAATATGATACTTTTCCCAATATCAACCAAATGTCGCTATTTTTCCCAATTGGAAAGGCCCAGGCCCTTGTTTTTAAGACATAGAAAAAACCCTGCATAGATTTATTGACAGCTAAAAAATCATATCTCTTGTCCGTACTATTCTTGGGTCAAACGCTTTATATTTTGATGCAGTTATCAAGTCACACATTTTTCTGTACATCGTGTGTAAATGATACAGCACAGGCTGCATGGTTGTGAAGTATCTATGACATCATCCACATTCATATTTTGTAGTCTATTCTCCTATACACTTTCATAGCTCAGGGTATTCTGTTTGAGGGCGAGTGGTTCCCAAGATTTATTTGTTGTCCTCTTGATATGGAGGCGGCCATACTTGAAAATACGAAACTGTGGCTCTACAGGTATAACGTAAAAAATCCAATTCAATAAATGATATAACTACCCTATATTATTTTAAAAAAAGTAATATCAGTGAAAATTCATTCAGATAGTGTTTGTTATTTTTTGTTTAACAACAATCTTGACAATTCGAAACTATTTCTTAATTAGTTCTGCATGACACTTTTTAAAAGGCGCAAACTTTGAAACGCGCGAGACGTTGGAAAGTGAATCGGTAGAATTGGAAGATTATTAGCGTATATCTAGTCATTCTTTGTCAACCTTTGAAGAAAATAACAGAATACGAAGAAGGAATATCCAGAGGATCAATTTACTTCATAACTGCAGATATTAATGGTGAGTTACAAAAAATGGAGGCAATTGCTGAATCTGTGAGATATTTGTCAAGATGTTACTGTCTATTTGTAAGAGTTCAGTTATGTCTTTTTTAATGATAGTTTTGTCAAACTTTGTTATGAGTAAGGATCCAACCAAATTACGTAACATTTAATAATTAAAGATTGAAAAATTCAACCTGTTCACCTATAACATCTTGAACATGGCGGGCAAGGGAAACTGGCTAAACTAGGCCTACCGCTCGGAATGCTTTAAAATATGGCAGTGCCTATGATGCAGAATTAAATGAAACAAATATGCAAAAAAAAAATTTAGTCTTAAGTTTTCACATATATGAGCATTTTCAGAAAATATTTGTTCTTGTAGGGAAAAGAGAAGCAGTTCACAGATAATGTTGATGAGTTGAGATCAGAAGATTAAAAAAACTCTGGCTGCCAAAAAAAAAAAAAAAAAAATCCAGGATCTTGAAGAAAAACAAAAGAAATGGATGAAAATATGAATCGTAATCGATCAAAGTATCCAAGTGATGAAATTCTGAAAATTCCACAGGGAAAGCCAATAAGATTTTTTTTATTTGACCACCTCATCTCAAAATCCTTGAAAGCCCTTTTAGCTGATGCCCTAATTGCTGAACACACTTTTCTGCCAGACAGTGAGACTTGGATTAAAAATCATTCCATTTTAGGCATACACTCTGAAATACGCTGAATAAGGAACCCACACTCCTCTTGACCAAGTAAGGTTAAGGATTCTGCAAAGAGTCGTGTTTGAATTAAATTTTTCATAATTTTACTAAGAATGAACTACATAATTTATTTATTATCGATATCACTTATCAGAGTTGTTTACTTGAACAAAGATTTTGTTACCATGATTGGAAAACAAAAATTCTGTGAAATCTTTCAAGATGCTATTAAAATATTTTCTTTTACAGTTTTTCATTTTGCATAATTTATTACATTTTTGTTTACAAAAAGCAAGAACATTCATGAATAGTTCATGAACATTCCTAAATAACTTTTACAAATTATTCATGAATAGTTCATGAAATGCATTGAAGCTATTAATATCATTCATGAACTTTTCTTGAAAGTTCAAGAATATAATTCATGAAGTTTTCTTGAAAGTTCAAGAATTATTCTTGATCATTTTGCAGGCAATTAAAAAATCCAAGTTTGTTCATGAACAACAAATAATTCTTGAATATTCTTGAACTTGGTTTTTATGAATAAAATCCATGAAATCATGAGTGTCCAATTTTAACTTCATGGGATCTTCATGAACAATTCATGAGCTGATTCAAGAATATAATTCATGAAATTTTCTTAAAAGTTCAAGAATTATTCTTGATCATTTCGCAGGAGGAGCTCTTATGATAAGACCTTGGCAAAAGAAGATTGTGACTTGCACATTGCTCCACACAATTTTTCTGCAGTATACTTTGGACACACAGTGCTTAGCTTCTTTAACATGTTTAAGCTACATTCAAAATTCATTTCTATTTAATTTGAATTAGCTATCCTTACTCATGTTCACATGGAGCTAATGGGAAGTAATTTAACGAGCAGTGAATTCATTCGAATTAAACATTTGAATAAACTCTCAGTGTGAACACTGAGCATGGATGCACCAAATGTCAAATGCGGCTTGACAAGCACAATCTAAATTAAAACTAAATAAGTATCTGCCCTCACCCTTACAGTCACACTGTCAATATATAATTAGTTGAATATATTCTGTAACATTAAGTGCAGTTTGAATTATAGAGTATGATCACTATGATAGATAGTAGGACTGTTGAAATTACATCCTCAAATTTAAAAAAAATAAAATATAAAGCTGTGGGGATTTACAAGGTAAACAGAGAGCGTCTGAACTGTAAAACAGATAATATATCGGTGTGTCTGTGTATTTCTAATAACACCAATGTATGTCACTGTCATGTAATCAGTAGTGTAAATTTTAAGTAATAAAAATATTCTAACCTTCATTCCAATGGTCCAAGCCAATCATACATTAAAATGTCGCCGTCAGCTCTTTCATCACTCGATACAATTATCACTGGGGAATCCGAAGCAGAGTCAAGAGTGTTCATCCTTGTTAATGTGACAGTCAGAATTTCCTCGTAAACAATTCACACAAGATTCTTAGAATATATGAATAGGGATAATTCTGCTTAGAATAATGTTCCAGAGAAGTGACAAAGTACTTCGTAGCTGCAGATTAAATGTGTGTACATGTCTACAAACGGATTCTTTGTGAGAAAATGTTCAACTTCACAAATCATTCTATTTTCAGTTTGTAAACCATGGCAAACATGTGGCCGACGTCGACTCGAAGGGGCACACTAAAAACGGGATATACTAGAGACCTGATATTTACCTGACGTTTTAATTTTTAATTAAATGGTAATATTGAGTATTTTAAATTACTTATGTACAGACTTTATGACTTCGAGGCATATGCTATACAAAAATTCAATTGTTTGGAACATTTACAGACAAATTTGAATCAGGTCAAATCAGTGTTTAGTACATCGCGTCTTTAGTACCTTCCTATTTCCCACAATGCCGCGCGTTGTTTACAAACAAGCGCGAAAAAATCCTCTAAACAAGGTACTAATTATTGTTGTGTACATCATCACATTTTAAAATTATTTGAATAAAAAGAAAACAAAGAAACACCGAATCAAAACTATATCTTTTAGATGCATCAACTAAAAATGTGCACATGTATGCAGTAAAGGCTTGGCTGGCTATAGTAGACAACTTGTTCCTGAAAGGTTTCTCACATATATGTACTTGTTTTATAAAAAAACAATTAAATATAGCTGGAAGTTTATTTCTTTTTATATCAAATGACAAGATTTTATAAGTTCGAAATTATTTCAGTCAAACTTTTTCATAATATACCAATATTTTTAGCCATCAAAAAAAAGCGTGTATGAGCTATTAACCCCTAATTATAGGGGCCAGCCCCTTTTCGTTAATCAAATATGAAAGCTCTCGTAATTACCCACAACTTTTGTTTTATATTTCTTACCAAATTATTCTCGGTTTAAAAGTTATTACACAAAAAGTAGCAAAAATTCAATGAAAAAAAATTACTAAAATTTGCCGTTTTATAGCTTCTAAACTTTAAGAAATCAGCTATATAATTTTATCGTTGTGCACATCTACAATGTATTGGCTACAAGTTCTCCAACTTTCATGTAAATATCTTATGTCATTTTTGAGATTTTCAGTGGAAACGAGACATCAAAAATTTTCAATTAAAGGGCAATAACTCACAAATAAAGGCATGCATAAAAAAACTGAAAACAGGTGTAAATAGGTTTAACTACAAGCTATCTATCCTGAAAGTTTCATAACGATCAGTCCAAAGGTCTTTGAGAAATCGCCTGTCAAAAGTCGAGCGGGAAAAAAAAAAGAATAATAAGAAACAATAGAATAACAGTAGGGTCTTCCGAAGGAAGCGGAAGACCCTAATAATAAAAGTGAAAAAGAAACCTAAGAATAACAAGAAGGTCTTCCGCTGAAGACGGAAGACCTTAATAATAGGTAAAAAGAAACCGAAGAATATTGAGAAGGTCTTCCGTTGGAGACGGAAGACCTTAATAAAGGTAAAAAAGAAACCGAAGAATAATAGAAGGGTCTTCCGCTGAAGAAGAAAGACCCTAAAAATGATAATAACTAGAGCAAAGCTCGTTGCAAAGCAACGAGTAGGTCTTCCGACCGGTTTTGACCAGAAGTGCCGAAAGTGACATCAAAAAAGAAAGCAATGAGCTAAGTCGTCTCTAGTGACTTTATAATTTCAATTTTGCATCAAAAACCTTAAAAATAAGCTATTTTTTGCTACTTCCGGTTTGACCGGAAGTGACGCCGACGGACGGAAAATTAATTTCTATGCTCCCAAAGACATATGTTATCCAAAAACTTGTCAAGAACGGCAAAAATACGCGTTTTCCGACTACTTCCGGTTTGGCCGGAAGTTACGATGCCGGACGTATTTTGACGACTCCAGTGGATTAAGCTTGACATTTCAAACAACTTTGCTTCTTTGACGTATTACAAATTCTCAATACTTTTTGAGATATAAAGAAAAAACTTTCGGCCCCTCTAGGCCCCCCATTTTAGGGGCCAGCCCTTTTTTCGAGATATCATTTGAAAGATCTTGGAATTCTACACTTCTTTTGTTATACATGTTTTAACAAAATATTTCTAGGTAAAAAGCTATCGTTGAAAAGGTGTGAAATATTTTGAAATTCGCGAAAGGACTATTTTCGGGCCATAACGAGCTTCCGTACACAGCAATTTCGGTGAATATGAAATACGTTCCGCACAACTACATTTATAGCTCTATTATCACTGAAAATCTCAAATTTCTATCTTAAGCCGTTTTTGAGAAAACTCGCGGACAAACTGACCCTCTAAAATTCACTAAAATGCAAAAATCTCGGAACCGGAAGTGACGTCATCAAAATTAAAAAATATATGTCTAGATTTTTTCATGTCCAATCAGCCCTGAAAATTTCATGAAAATCAAGCGAGCCGTTTCCGAGAACTCGCGTGCACAAAATCAGTAAGAAAAAAAAAGAAAAAAACTGGAAAAGAAACCTAAGAATAACATAAAGGTCTTCCGTTGGAAACGGAAGACCTTAATAAGAAAAGTGAAAAAGAAACATAAGAATAATAGAAGGGTCTTCCGCTGAAGACGGAAGACCCTAATAAGAAACAGAGTAAAAACAATATGTTCCCCAACTTCGTTTGGGGAACATAATAACCTATAAAATCATCTTATAATTTATTTTTATATATTATCTATGTAATGACGTACTTTTATTGTGAAAGATAATATGTGCTTGTTTCAGATTAAGCGGCTTTAACGAAGAAGGTTCCAATTTGTATCAAATAAATAGATATTTGCCAGAGTTATAACTCATTATTTGTCAGGCACCTAATTATTATCAGGTGTGCATACAACTATGCAAAATTCAAATGACATGTTACAAAGGCTTGCTTAATTACAGGTTATTGTCTGCACATCTTGCAATGAAATGTTTTGATTGAGAACTTATCCAGCATGAATACCAGCCATGTACCTCACCTGTCAGGACATTATTAAAGGTAAGTGGCCCTATCAGCAAAGAATCAAACAAAGCAAAACCTTCATCTTCAAAAGATTTACATTTAATACTTATTTAATTTGTGATTTATTTGAATTTCTGTAGAGTGTTATGTTACATGAACATACTATGAAAACAAAAAAAATTATATTTAAATCAAAATTGCTTTTATTTCAGTACTTTGTGACAGTGGTAAGATGAAATTAAACATGACATGGCTCTATATTACTGCATCAGATATTAATCCAGGTTTACTTATAAACCGAATGAAAAGTCAAGCATCATTTGGATTTGGAGCTACATATGTCACCGCCTTAACAATATGCCTGCTTACATAACCAAGAAAGCACAGCGACCAGTTGTACCTTTGATGTCGGACGAGATCCTGAGAATACTTTCAGTGCACTCATCGCTACCTGCAAAGAAAAGAAAATTTTAAATGACTTGTATCAACCCTTTTGTATTTCATCTGGCTTGTATTTTTAGTACTCATTAGCCTTTAGCTTCCTTCAAACAAAATTTCATCAGTACCAACTTGTAGGTGAAAAATGTTGAAACAGTTTGTTTTTCCCAAAGGAAATTCTCTTCCAATTAATGAATTATCAGTGTCGTGAGCATTTGATTGATGTCAGTTCCATCGGCAAAGTATTTATAGTGGAATGGTGCCAGATGAAACATTTTTCACAAGAACCTGGAAAAACATCAGGTG